ACCACACCCCTGCAAGGGGCCTCCATTCCCTCTGGGCCAAGCAGGGAAGCTGAGCCCTGGCTCCATCACTGTGTACCAAATACATCATAGTATCCTCTTCCCCAGTTAAGGCGGCTCGGCCATGAGGAGTTCCTGCCTCACCCATCCCTCAATGCACAAGAGACACTGGGCTAAAAAGGGCAGGAAAATGATAAAGATGAAGGTTGAGGGGACCTGCGCTCTGGGGCTGACAAGAAGTAGCCCGGAGATGAGATGTGGCCAGAGAGACGCGGAACCCCCATGAGCCTGCAGCAAGAGCGAGGCTGGAGACAACCGGCTTCTCAGGAGCTGCAGGGAGAGTCAAGGCCGCCAAACTCGTCGCTCCTGGGTGCAATTGGCCTGGTGGCCGCGGGACGGAGCCCAAGGACTAGACAAGCCAAGCGCTCTGCAACGCGCGGCAAGAGGGACCCAGCGCGCCGCCTTCTGCGTGGCCTCTGCCCGGAGCCAAGTGGGTACCCCCAGCTCTCCAGCTGTAGCCGGGCTCCCGGCGCGTGGCGAAGGTGCGGGGTCCTCGGAAGTTCTTGGACTCAGTGATCTGCACCCGCTGAGATGCGGAGGGAGGAATTAGACCTGGGTCTAGGCTGAGGAGGCATCCGGAGAGACTAGTGGCGTCGTCGCTGTGTGTGTGTGTGTGCGTGTGTGCGTGTGTGCGTGTGCAGACCGCACCGAGTAACTATAATTTTTTTATGCACTGTTTCAGCAGAAATGTATTATTTTTATTAAAACAATTCTGTAGTAGTTACAATAAAAATATTTTTCTAAGCCCAGCTTACATGTGCCAATATACCTACAAGTCTAAAATTCTATGCTAATTTACTTTTTGAACCTTCTAATGAACCCCGAGGAGCTCTGGAGCGTAGAGCCTAAGGTACTTGACTGCTAACCAGAAGGCTGGCGGTTCAAACCACCAGCCACTCCTCGGAAGGAAGATGGGACAATCTACTTCCGTAGTGATACTGCCTCGGCAACCCAAGGAGGGGTCGCTATGAGTCGGGGCCGACTCGACGGCAAATAACAACAACAACAACAACAGTTTCATAGGACTTATGTGGGTTAAAAATCAAACTTGATCTTACACATAAAAAACAGCAAGCACACTAAAGGCAAACCCACTATGAGTAAGAGTTAGAAGAAACAAGAAACAGCAGATTTAGTTAACGTCCCTACTCCCACCCTTCACACAGACAGATGTTGACAAGGTCAGATACAAAACACAGAACGGCTTTTACGTGGAAAGTTTATAGAAACAAAGAACGCAATTATAAAGAACAAACCAAAAAACCCATGCCATGGAGTTGATTCCAACTCATAGTGAACCCCATAGGGTTTCTCTAAGGCTGGAAGTAGATTGCCTCATCTTCCTTCCACAGAGCAGCTGGTTGGTTTGAACCACCAACCTTCTGGTTAGCAGCCTTATGCTTTAGCCATTGTGCCACCAGAGCTGCTCACATTATAAGGAACATATTAGCAGAAAATTATCAGGACCATACAGACAAATTTTGGGGAAATGGAACGGATGGAAATGAAAAACGTAACATTGAAATAAAACTTAATTACTACTCAGAGGAAGTTAGGAAGGAACTCATCATATCTCTTGTACATTATATATGGGAGTGTAATTGGAAAAACAATTTGGCATCCTCTTGCTAAGATGAACATTCACATACTCTACCCACTCCTAAATGTATAACTGACAAATTTCAGCACATGTGCACCTGAAGATGAAAATGGCAAAACTCTCCATAATAGCAAAAATTTGGAAACAACCATCAATGGGAAAATAGATAAGTAAATAATAACCAATCTATATACATAATGGGATGTCATACAAGTAAAAATGAATGAAATACAAGAAGTAGTATTGAGTCAAAAATTCAAGCCCCCAAAGATGGTATCCTTTTATAAAGTTCAAAACAAATAAGATAATGAAATAACAAAATATTTAGATATACACATGTATTTTAACATTTAATTTTAAAAAGCAAGAAAAAGGTAAACATAAAAATCAGGGTACTGGTTATCTATGAGGAAAAGACAAGGGGTAGAGGGATACATAGCTACCTATAATATTATTGCAAAACCTCATTACATTGTGATAGAGTTGCAGTAGGTTGGAAGCTAACTCAGTGGCAGTTAAAACAACTAGAAGGATGTTCTTTTTTAGTTCTTGAGTTGTGTAGTGTCTTAATGAATATTCATTATATTTACAGACAAATAAATGGAAAATATTTTAAGTAAGGAGTCTTAAAATGTATTTTGGAATCCACTAAGTCGCTGTTCGACAGATATAACCAAAACAAAAGTGAAACTAAGACATTATCAATTAAAAATGAAAAGATGTATCAGATGAATCAAATAAAAACACAGCACAAATCGGAATATTAATGACAGACCATAAAGTGTTTACAATAAAATACATTAAATTAACTAGAGACTACTAACATATCAGTAAAAAGTACATTTAATAGTGAAGGAATAATGGTAGTAAAGCTTTATGAGCCAAATAAAATAGCATCAAAATATATTCAGCCAGATTTTTGGGAAAAGGTGGTGGAACATATAGCTCAATCACAACTCCCCTCCTCAATATCTAATAAAATGAACAAAAATAATTTTTAAATGGTGGGAGAGGAGAGCATTATAATTCCAACAATAACTTCCCAAGAAAGGAAGTGGGCCCAATCTAATACCATTAACTCCAGAAAGTAACAGCCTAGGAGGATGAAGGAGAAGGGAATCATCTGAATTCACACAGCAGAACTCTTAGCATCATTTACAAAACTGCAACCAAAAAGCAAGCAACCATTGCCGTGGAGTTGGACCCAACCCATAGTGACCCCTCTTTGGGTTTCCGAGGCAGTATCACTACGGAAGTAGATTGCCCAACCTTCCTTCCGGGGAGTGGCTGGTGGATTTGAACCACCAGCCTTCTGGTTATCAGTCAAGTGCCTCAGGCACTATGCTATCAGAGCTCCCTTTACAAAATTATGACTCTCTAAATCCAGAGAGGATGAAACCAAGCATGGCCCCTTGTCTTTTTCTTCTTCTGAAAATGGTTTCCTAGTAAAGACTGGTGAAGGAGGCAATGTGAGCTGTGACAGAAGTGAAGTTTCTCAGACTCCAAAGAGAATTGGAAGGACAACTCAAAGCCCTTAAGAATGTTTCCCTGTTAGAATGGGGTACCCTGGACTGGGGTGAAGCAAGCATAGTAACTCCAACCTCCTAATGTTTCCCACCAACTTGTTTCTTGACCTTGGAGTGCTCTTCTAGAAAAGATTTTTTATAATGAAGAAACTTTTATATGTGTGTATAACCATCAAGTCGATTGTAGCACAAAGCAACCATATGTATGAAACATTTATCTCAAGCCAGCAATTTCCTCCATGTCACTTGCAAATTTTGAGGGTTAAATTCTGTAAACTAAAATTCAGTAGTTTTCCTTTTTTAAAAAAAGCATGTTCAGTAAGATTCTAATTTTATAAAATTATTTTGCCTATCTAACACATCTAATGTTATTGACATTTATTGATGGGTGGTGGGATTTGGGGTGATACTTTGCTGTTTTTATACTTTCCTGCATTGTTTGAATTCTTCAAAATAAGCATGTGTAAGTTTACAAGCACCATTCAGTGTGTATATAAAGAGAGAAAATGAGAAAATTGTAACAATAACAACAGCTTGTATGTTGAGTGCTTACTATTTGTCAGGCACTGTTGCTAAGCCCTTATATTAGGGTGAATCCTATGGAACTGCTGATATTTGAATGTTCTGAACCTACAAAAAGCAATTTCATTTACTCCTTTAATGCCTGGACAACTCTAGAGATGGAGGTGGGGATGGAGAGCTTAAGTTGCTACGATGGAAAGAGGAATCGAGTGCCCTCCTCTGCAGAGTGCCCTATGCCCTTGGCTGCCCCAGGTCCTCTAGCCATGTGCTCTCCCTCCAGGTCAGGGTGTACACACATCTGTCCCAAGATGCTTTGGGGCATCAGCCAGTGTTCTGAGTGCTAGGTTGGAAGGCAGCACACATGGCCGTGCGCTAACTCAGTTTCTCCTCTGAACAAAGCCTTTTCAGGTTTCTAGGCAGGACCCAGATGTGAGAGCCCGTGAGAGCTTTAAGAACAGCTTAGGCATATGAGCTAGTCCCAGTGGAATCCCCTTGCATTTTGCCCCCACCCCAGACGCTAAAGCAGAACACACTCAACAGTTTCATGTTTATTTTCAGAAAGTGATGAAGACAAAAGAAATACACCCAGACACCACTCTCCATACAATAAATAGCCTCCCCTATTCCAAAAAATAAAAAAGAAAAGAAAAAAGCGTGCGCGTGCACACACACAACGACAACCACACACAAGACCAAGCTTCTTGAGATGCGCACCATCCCCCACTTCCCAGCCCCTTCCTCTGAACCCCACTCCTTAGAGAGGTGGAGGCCAGGCCAGTTGCCCTGAATCCCCTGAGTCCTCTCCCTGAGCCTGGCTGGTGGCCTGTTACAAAACCCATGAGTATTTATTTTCAGGGCAGGAATTAACACACATGCAAACAAAGGTTCTGAAAGTTACTTTACAAAAGGAGGAGAGCTGAATGTCCGGTCCCCAGCCTCCTCCTACCTGACCCACCCATCCCCGCCAGAAGGAAGGAAACTCGCTGTGTCCAAGACCTTATTCTTGTCTGTTTTCTGTTCTCCGGGCAGGAACCAAAAGCCAGCAGCAGCACCAGGTAAAGGACTGTAGTCAGGGCAGAGGACGGAGCAGGGACACTCCGCCCGCAGTTCATTGTGGGCCAAGAAGCAGCAAGTGAACCCCAGAACCCATCTTGGCCTCTGTCTTCCCCAACCAACCGCTCTATATGGAGAAGGGACAGAGGGAGCTGGGGGCTTCTCAGTCCTGAGTCTTTTCTGTTAGTTGGTGTCTTCCAGCCTATTAACACTGTTCCTGTTCCTTTCACCATGTCACCTGGTCAGTTGGGAAAATAGTTATAAAACTGGCCTTCAGCTTCCTTATCAAAAGGAGAAGGGGCCCCAGCAGGAGAAGAGCTGTCACCACTGGAAGGGTAAGGGGACACACGTCTCCTCTTACAGTCTCCTTCGCCCAGTCCTGAGTCACTGGATTCTGGCCGAATGGAGGTGATCTCAGTCCACATTGAGGGGGAGCCCTGGTCCTCTGGGCCCTGGCCCTCCAAGGTGCCGGGACCAGGTTCCATGGGTAGAGTTCGCATGGGGCGGAACCAGCTGGCCGGGCCCATCTTGGGGGGATACTGGGGAGCCACGGGCCAGGCAGCACCAGGTGCCAGGACCTCCTGGCTTCGGTAGTAGGACAAGTTGGGCCCAGGGGCGGAGGGCAGGAATGCTGGCTTCATGCTGACTGCTCGGAACTCGGCCTCATAGCTGTGGTCCCGGGGGGCCCCCAGCCAATAAGGCTGGGGAACCATGTCCTTGGCCTGGCCAGGAAGGTCGGGGTAGAAACGGCTGGGGACAGGATACTGGTTGGGTAGGAGAGGAGAGTAGTGATCTCCCGCAAGCAATTGACAGTTGGGTCCAGGCGGGGAGGGGACGCTGGTGTCAACAGATGCATACATGCTAGAGAAATAGGAGGCAAGAAAACTGGGATCACAGCAGAGCCGGTCCCTTAGGGGCCTACCAGTGGCACGTCCCTTCCCTGATCCTTTTTCCCTGGCCCGCCCTCCAGCACCCACCTCAACCTTGTCCCACCCTCAGGGACAAGGAGAAGATACGCTGAGGCTGTAGATATAGCAGTGACCCAACCCAGGAGCACATATCCAGGGTCCCCAGTCTCAGGAGGAGCCAAGAGGAGGCCCTCTACAAAAGTGTGTTGATCCCGGTGGTACTTACGATTCAAAGTTCTCCCGGAATCCTTTGGCAAATGGGTTATTATCGATTTTCAGCTGAGTAATCTAGGAAGAGGGGAAAGAGCATTGTTGACTTGTGAGTCTCAGGCTAGGGACCTTCTAAACTTCACTGTGGCCCCCTTTCCAGGCTCAGGCCCACGCACCCTGCGAAGCCCTCACCTCAGCATTCTGATAGGCGGTCACAGCGATAAACTGGGTTTCTTGGAAAGTAAAGACATGGGTGTTGGACGCGCTGCAGGCTGCCTCGGGCTCACCATCATTCACCTCCACGATGTGCAGCCGGGGCTGGTACTTGTGCAGTGACTGGAGCACGATCATCTGAAAGGAAAGCAAGATGGCGGTGCCTGTGGGCAGGGGAGGGGCTCAGGCAGTGCCCACAATCCACTCGCCCTCCAGCAAGGCTGGAAAGCAGCCTGAGGCATCTCGTCTAGCCCTCTGCCCTACCACCACGTGACTTCTCATAAGCCTTCCAGTTCCAGAGTCTCCAGGCCCATTGGGGTACCGATTCTAGTCTCTCGCCCTACTTTCTATTCCCAGACGTTCATTCATTGTGAGCAAGGTATTAGCACAAACAGGGTTTTTTAGGGATGAGGGAACTTTTATTTAACAGGCTTGCTCAATCTGGAGTCCTCCACATCCATTGCCTGGGATCAGTGGGGCCAGTTCCACACTCATCACAGCCCATGAATCTTAGCGGCCCGGAATTCTGTGACGAAACCCAGGGGCTGGCTTGGCCTGTGCCTGCCTGAGTGTGATCCCTCCCTGACATTCAGCTTCCTCCCACCTCATCTTCCTCCCAAATGGGTAGAAAAGGACCAAAGAGTTCAGAGAGGAAGAGAAGTGACTCTTACAGAACAGAACCGGAGCTCCCAGTGATAGGGCCTCGGACCCAGGGGGGCGGGGCTACCTCCCTGAGGAAAGGCCATTGGTGAGAGGTCCTACCTGGGTCACATTGTTGGAGGCCCCCTTGTTGTTTGTGAGCTTCAGTTTCCCAAATGAAACTTCCTGGCGCATCCAGTGGGCTCCAGTGTTTGGGGAATCGGGGTGAACATACAGGCGGTTTCCTGTGGACAGTTAACCTCTTTGGTATGCAGCCCCCAGGACCAGACTCCGGGTGATGTGGGGCTTTGTTTGTTCTTGACATTCTGAGGGGATGTCAAGAAGGATACAGGGGAAGGACCAGAGGGACAGGACAGAGGACAGGTGCAGGCAGTAAATGGGTGTTGTGGGTGGAATTGCAACCCTCCAAAAACTATGTTGAAGTCTTCACCTCCTGCACCTGTAGATGTGGCCTTATTTGGAAACAAGGTCTTTGCAGATGCAATCAAGGTAAGAGGAGGCCATGTTGCTGTTGTTGTTGTTATGTGCCGTGGAGTCGGACCCGACTCATAGCGACCCCTCCTTGGGTTTCCGAGGCAGTATCACTACGGAAGTAGATTGCCCAACCTTCCTTCTGAGGAGTGGCTGGTGGGTTTGAACCGCCAGCCATCTGGTTAGCAGTCACATGCTTTAGGCACCATGCTACCAGAGCTCCTAGAGGAGGCCATAGTGGGTTAGAAAAAATGGGGCCTAATCCAGAGGCTGGCTCCTCATAAGAGGACAGACACTGAGACACATAGATACACAGGGGAGAATGACATGTGATGACAAAGGCAGAGACTGCAGTGATGCATCTACAAGACAAGGAACACCAAGGATTGCCGGGAGCTACCAGAGGCTAGAAAAAGGCAAGGGAGGACCCTCCCCTAGAACTTTGGGAGCATAGCCCTGCCAAAGCCTTGATTTCAGAATTCTAACCTCCACAACTGTGGGACAATAAATTTGTTGTTTTCAGCCATTCAAGTTTGTGCTTATTTTCTATGGCAGCTCTAGGAAACTAATACAACAGGCTTGAGCAAAGTAGAAAAAAGGTAACAAACAAAACAGAAGTGGGAGGTGGGATGGGGTGAATTGAGTTGCAATGGGGAATTAAATCCTGTCAGGGGCTGGGGTTTGGGAGTTCTTCCTGAATCCACCAGGGGGAGCCCAAGTCCTGGAAAAAAAAAAAAAAAGAGTGCCCGCTCTGCTCCCAACAGCCACATACCTGGCATGCTGCCCTCAGCCTTTCCGCACTGCACCCACTTGCCACTCTGATACCGCCAGTGGTGCTGGTCCACCAAAACCACGTCCACGAACATCCGGTAATGGCTGGTGGGCTCCAGCCCGGCCACGGTAAATGACAGGAATGGGAACATCCTCCTGAGAGAACAGAGAGACTCACCAATACCTGTCAGCCCCCAGCTCCACAACCAGTAGTATGTTGGCGCTGACTTCCACCCACTTATGAAAGCCAACTGTAAAGTGCTCAGGAAGTTTGCAGCCAGTTGTTAAACATAGCCATAATTAAAAGTTACATTATATAAACTTACAATTAAATATATTATATTAAAAAATCAAGGTAATAAATACTAAAAAACCGTTATTTCCCAATTATTTTACCATTGTCTATTCTTTTGAGGTTGTTTATGTCTACTGAATCTGTATAGTGGAATTACAATATAATGGTGAGCTACTGAGAGTCTCTTGCAATGAGTGTTCAGTGACGCCACATTGGTAGCTTGGAGTCAGCCATGGTAGGAGTATTTGACCAAGAAATCAGCAAACATTACAAATCAGGGCTTCAATTTTTTTTTCTCTTTCAGAGGACTGGTTGTTAAACACTTATCAGCACAGCACTGTTTCAAACCTTAATCTGCTTCCTAGGAGAAAGCAAAACCACTAGCCAGCCCTCCACAGACAATTCCTAACAGGGCCTCATGCTTCAGCCCCCAAGCCCTGGTCTGGCCTCAGTCCCCCATCCATCCTCTCCACTGTGGCCCTCACAGTGCTGACTCATATCTAGCTCCACGCCACCCACCCACAGACCCTTCCTTCCTCATCCTCTAGGTCTGATGTCTGTAGTATGGCCTGTCCTAAGCCTGGGCCTTCAGAGAAGTAGCTGAAGTGCTGGGAGGACAGAGAACTTCCCGTTAACTTGAAAGAGGGCTCTGTTGTCACAGTCCTCATGCTCACAGGTCTGTTTCCAAGGAAAAGTAGAGGCCATTATGAGGTGGGATCCAGCATTAGCCCCATTCCTATACTGGTCCAGATGAATGGAGTAAGAGAAAGAAGAGAAAGAAGCTCTTCCATACCAAGACCATCTCCATCACTTCTGCCACCACTAACCCAATACTACCATCATTACAACCACCACCTGCACAATCACAGCAGCATTGTCACCAGCATCACCATTATAATCACCACCTCCGCCATCACTACCACTATTGTCACCACCACAGCCTCCACCACCCCCACTGTCACCACCACCATCACAGCCACCAACACCCCCACCGTCACCACCACCATCACAGCCACCAACACTCCCACCGTCACCACCACCATCACGGCCACCCCCACCCCCACCGTCACCACCACCATCACGGCCTCCACCACCCCCACCATCACCACCACCATCACAGCCACCAACACCCCCAACGTCACCACCACCATCACAGCCACCAACACCCCCACCATCACCACCACCATCACGGCCTCCACCACCCTCACCGTCGTCACCACCATCACGGCCACCACCACCCCCACCGTC